AGAGTGACAAAGTAAAATTCCTGTAGTTACTGTTGCTGAAGGAATGACCAGGATGTGGTGTGATCTGTAGCTCCCCAAGCTCCTCTCCTTAGTATGGAGTTAAGTTGTTGAGATTGCGAGTCTTCCCTTAAGCAAGGCTCTGTGAACTGGAAGTGGTTTTCTGTGGAAACAGGCTACTTAGCCTGAGGAACGCTTTCTTTCTGTGTAAGTCTGTTCAGTGTTAATTCTTATTATAGAGCTTTCCTGGGGGCTTGACAATTCTGTAGAACAGAGAAATCTTAAAGAGATTTTTTATAAGATTATTTTCATACAGTTTGATCAGTATGCTCCAATTACATTTGAAATATATATGTCTTTTTTGTTGGAGTATAAAAGTGGTCTTACCAGTTTCCAAACCTGTAGCAGAGCAGCAGCTCAATAAATATGTCTGAAAGAAAAGCATACAGTGTAAGAAGTTGTTAAATTTCTGCCAGAAAATTAGTAATGATTCTCACATCATCAAAATAGTGGTAGAGCTCTAAATAACACTTAATAACCAATTAATTCTTAATAGCTGATAATTGAGAGTGATGATCTGATATTTTGTGATTAGCATTATTAGCTATTCCAACTATCATTATGGGTTTTGTCTGCTTATGTCCTTACTTTTTAATCTCCAACATGCCTTCTAAACATACATAGCTAATCATATTTTTGTATATGGTAGTCACTGTCTACAATAGATTCAAATATCCAATAAATTAATTTAAGAATCAGAATAAAAGGAAAACAAGAAAGCTGGTATCATCAAAAGGTGTCTGTTCCATCTGGTAAGAAGATTTGAAAAATGAGTCTTTGTTTTTTCACCTGCTGACTAACTGTTCATTTCATTTTCCATGACTGTGAGAGTGATTGCCAGCCTGATTAATGACAGACGCGCTACACCTACAGCTTCTTCAAAGAGCTGCTCCTGAGCAGACACACCTACACTTTAACCTAAAAGCAGATTCATAGAACCAGTGCATATGAGATAAGAAAAAATCCCTCTGTATGGGCAGCAGGCAAGGTTGTCTCACCTCTGACTGCTATTCAGTAGCACTGATTCCTTCTCCATCCATGACCCTGCAACATAAGCCCCAGACCACAAAAATATCATTCCTTCTCTTATTTTGTTGTCCCTTTGAGCTCTAAGCCTGTTTTTAAAGCCCTGTCACATGTGGCTTTCCTAAAGGAGCATAAGTTCTCTCCTTCTTATTTTCGTTTTATTAACAAAACCCGTATTTGGATAGAAATCTGGGGCCATGTTTAGAAAAGCACAGCTTTATTGAGTAATGGCACTCAAGTCCTTGTTTACAGCCAGAATCCCTGAAGATGATCACCCCAGCATGGGCAATTTCTAATGGGGGAAAGACACTGCAGGTATGCAGTATTAATGACTGTGTTTATTGTGGTAGTGCAAAGGGAACTACTGAGAGAGGGAACAACAAAGCGATAAGTGCAACACATATGAAGAGATGGTTTCCTTTTGCTTAGGAGTGTAAATAGATTGCAGCTTTGTTGATTTTGCTCCCTGCTTCTACAGGAATATATAAAAAAGAAAACATTGGGATTGCTTCCTTGCTGGTGAGCAAGTGGTGATCTGTGATTATCTTGAGTACATGAGGTGTGATATGTCTAATGAGTTCAGTGTAAAATATTTCTCACATCTAGCCATTGTTAAGATTTCAGAATTTTCCCACTCACCCTCAGGAGAAAGCAAGACCTCTCAAAAATGTTATGACAAGAAGGGAAGGGGGGAAGAGGGAGAGAAGCCTAGAAACAGCAAGTAGGGTAGGACATTCATCTAAGATTAGAGAGTCCCAGACTGAAATCCCTGTCTTGAAACAGGCTCAAAGGGTAAATCCACAAGGTTCAATGAAGTACAATGTAGACACCCAAGCTAGCTCGCTCAGAGCTAGTTCACACCCTGGAAGCAAAAGAGTTGCACTAACTCTACATGGTGCTAAGAAACTGTAAATACACTGGGGAAAGCACTGCATTGAAGTGGAACAGCCAGGCTTCACACCGTGTCTGTAACAAGCCAGCTTTTGACTTCATCTTGTAAAAACATTTTGACCTGGCCGTGTTTGCATTTCATACCCAAAGTATCCTGTAATGCCCAATGAAATGATGGTCAAAACACACAGATAATGTATTTTATTATTAATGCAATAACATCACAATAGTATAATAATTATTAATAATATAGAGAATATTTAATTGCTATAGTGCTTTATAAATATTGTTCCTTATAGTATAAATGTGCATGTATTGCTCATGATGATTTATTTTACTTTTTCAGTGAAAGCAGTATTTTTTTTTAATATGAAATATGTCCACTTTTATTTCATGTTAGCTTGTAAATGTGGCATATGGAAGAACTATTAATGCTCTTTATGTTTCTCTGCCTTGGGGTTATTCAGGATTAAAAGAATTTATGATCATTTTGCATTAGTAAATGAAAAACTATAGATTATTGGCTCCATGTGCACTCCCAGAACTTTCCAATAGTAAGAAAACATAGACAACTCCATTGGCTCAATTTTTATAAAATTTGAAATGAGGAAATACTAAACTCAGGCTTTTTTGAATACTGTGATGGTAACCTTCTGGAAATACAACCATTATAACAAT